ATCTCCCCAATCCGTGAATCCCTAACAATCCTTAAATTCCTAATCCCCAAACAGCCGGTGACGCACTTGTTCCATAGGCAGCGCCGTCTACTCGTTTACCGGCTCATTCCTTAAAAATTGACTATTTAAAATGAAATCGTGATAGGATTATTCCTCATTTCCCGGCTGTTGTAATCCCTTCATCAATGGCGACAATTTATGGTCCACTCTGCAGTCACCACAATCACATATCAAGCGTATGTAATACGTATTATACGTATACGTATGTACGTAATTTGATCACGATTGTAATTGTCAGATTGTACTCTCAATTTCTACTCTAACTCCGATTGCCCTGTCGGTACATCTTACACCGTTATAACATACCATCGGTCCGCTGACTCAGCGAACTTTCTCCAAAACAGCGCAGTGTCAGATACGCATTATTTTCCTGTGTGTAATATTGTGGGTAACTGTGACTGGTTTGTTTTTGAGAATGATTATATATACTTACGTATTTTTTTCGAGGAATATTATATAGTCACACATTCACATAACATCACGCCTTTTATCCCCGAAGGTATAGACAGAGGTGCAGATTACGGCACTTAATGCCACTGTACGATGTAATACCGACTTATCACTATTTATGTTATGAGTCCCATGTAATATAGTAATGTAATAGTGCCATATACCGGGCACAATTCCAAACTCCGTGAGATTAGAAACTACTACTGAGTTTAAAAAAAATATTCTACAGTTAAAAATTAACTGTCGATTGTGAAATCGGCCCTTAGTGCCAAAATTGCTCGATATTGCTATATATTATCTGTGTATAAAGATCGATTTTTGACATTAGTAGTCTGTCAAACACTTTTTTTTTTAAGGGGGGAAAATCATCGAATGACTGCTCCCGCCTGGGTGAGGCGGGAGGGAGTGTCAGACTCTTACTGACTAAAAACCACCCCGTTCCTTCTCCTGCACGTCGAGCCGGAGCCCCGGTTACCCGTTAGGTTCTCCGCGACTCCGAATCGGCATCGGCCGTATTGGGCCCCATCTGTGGTGGTCTGATGGCTCTTTGAGGCGCGCGCGGAACGCGACGCGCCGTACGCTCGGGTCTGTTTCTGGTCGGACGGGGAGCCACCCATGCTCGCCGTCCGCAGGCCCAGTCTGTCAAACACTATCTATCCAGAGACTTCGGGTTTAGAGCCGGTTATTTTTTTAAACGAGGCATACTTTTCGCGTCATCTGCTTTCGATAAAACTCTTCTTAAATGCTTGTCTGTCTTGTTGAATGTTTAGCAGCAGTAACTTAGGTTAGTCGTTAAGATTATTTAGACACCACTGACAAACGGTGAAGGAAATCATCGTAAGAAAACCTGTGCTTATAATTTCTAATTATAAGTTTGAAATTGCTAACCCACATTGAGCAAGCGTGGTGATTAATGCTCAAACCTTCGCCGTGTGAGAATAGGCCTATGGTGAGCAGTGGGGACTTATGTTGTTGATGAAATATTTGAAACAGAACAACACATACTTTTTGTACTACCCTTCCGGGAATAAACCGCGTGACACAGCGATATTTGATTAATCCAAAGTTATTTCGAGTAATAAATAAGCATGTAGCCATTACTAAGGAAGTGATACGCTATCTACATCTGATAGCGTTTTGATAAACCAATACCCTACATTCTGTATAGTAGGTAAATACACTAAATTTAGTCACTAACTGCGCCTGGAATACCCTAAAATTCCGATAAAAGTATATGCTAGAATAGAAAGAGCTATACTATGACACCGAGCGGAATAAGTCATCTTTATTCATAACTAGCTACTTCCGCGCGGTTTCACATGCTCTGCTCAGCTCCTATTGGTCGTAGCGTGATGTTTTATAGCCTATAGCCATCTTCGATAAATGCGCATCCGACACAAAAAGAATTATTCAAATCAGACTTGTGGTTACGGAGATTAGCGCGATCAAACAAACAAACAAAAAACAAACTCTTCCGCTTTATACCTATAATAGTAGGTATATGATTTTTGATCTAGTCGGTAGGTTGATATTCTGTCCTAAAACTCTATGACTACGCTCAGATTTTCTTTTATATCATGGGGGTTCTTGCGTACACATCAGACCCGGAACACTGTGAATTTGACGCCTTTTTTTCTTTGAGAGGAGATAATTACCCAATGACTTATCTCAACTGGGTGAGGCGAGAGGGAGTGTCAGACTCTTACTGAGTAAAAACCACCCTGTCCCTACTTTAGCTCTTCGAGCCGGAGCCCTCGGCAACCCGTTAAGTTTTCCGCGGCTCCGTAGTGAATTAGACTCCTAAATTGACCTGCGTTAAAAGATCAGCTTTTTCAGAAAACACTGCTCCTCGAAGCAGTAATACGGCCGAAATTTACTACCGATTTCATTGGAAAAATATCACTACGTAGTATAAAACAAAGTCGCTATCCACCGTCTATCTGTCCCTATGTACGCTTAGATCTTTAAAACTATGCAACGGATTTTGATGCGGTTTTTTTTAATAGATAGAATGATTCTTAAGGAAGATTTATATGTATAATGCACATGCATATTTTTTTTAAGGGGGGAAAATCATCGAATGACTGCTCCCGCCTGGGTGAGGCGGGAGGGAGTGTCCGACTCTTATTGACTAAAAACCACCCCGTTCCTTCTCCTGCACGTCGAGTCGGAGCCCCGGTTACCCGTTAGGTTCCCCGCGACATGCACATGCATATTGCACCCGTGCGAAGCCGGAGCGGGTCGCTAATTGAACATAAAGCAAATTTTGACATTACTTAAATATTAATATGATAGTTAGCTGTTTCTTAACCGGCTAGAAGATTTGAAGGTGACCAAAAAAGTATTCTAGTCTATCGTCACCACACCGCAACATAGGTAAAAGATAAGCTATAAATGATACAAACTAATTATCAAAAATTCTCCAATTATAGACGTCACGTCTGATTGGGTCCTTTACGGATATATGGCTAGTCATTTTTATCGTTGAATTAATACTTATGCTATTAGTAATCGTTATCGAGTAGCCATCTGTATTATAAATATATAGTGACGCAAATATAAACTTTACTGCAACAGCCTAACAGTCAAAATCAATGACTAATAATTGAAAACATTTGAAACGATTCAGTTTTTGACAGAAACTCTCTGTTACAATCTTTCAATAGGGATGATTGGTATTTAAATTAAAAACGAATTTAGGCTATCAGTTAGCTATTGAAAAAATATTAGACACGTATATTTTTAATTTGTCGAATCAAAGTTTATGAGTGGAGGCCGCTAGCTATGTCATTTCTAACCATAAAATGTACATAGAAGTGACGTAACGCGACATTTCAAATCAATATATCGTCGAAAGTATTAGTTTCTGTAAGAAAATAAAAAATACGCGTCTAATGTTTTAAAATAATCTACCAGATGAACATTAAAATAGAAATTGATCGACTTGTCATACTGGATTAATTTCAGTTGTCAGTTAAATTGCAGCGCTTGTTATGATACTTCATAATAAAGTCAAAATATCTTCTGTAATACCTACTCCTATATCCTATATATATAAATATCCTACTCCTCAAGTCTGCTGAATAAGGTTATGAAACCCACGTCAACTTTTTATTTTTTTGAGGGGGAATATCATCCAATGGCTTCCTTCTCCCGCCTGTACGAGGCGAGAGGGAGTGTCAAACACCTACTGACTAAAAACCACCCCGTTCCGTGACAGGATTGATGTTATATTTGTTTACAATTACGCTACGTATCTGCTTACCTCCTATTGAAAGTAAGAGAGCTATGCAATGTAAATGTAAAGCAGTTTGGAAATACAACATGGAGAAGTTGTTAATAGTAGTGATGATTCCCTGACTCTGGCTCACGCGTTTGACCGGTCAAATCCGGAAGATTCAGTCGCACCAAACCTTAAAAAAAAAAAAAAAAAAAAAAAAAAAAAAAAAAAAAAAAAAAAAAAAAAAAAAAAGGTTTTGGCATGCTCTGATCACGTTTCTGCAGTCCTTTTTAGCGTAGGATGCGTGGTTCTGGAGTTATGAGAATCAATTGCAAATCCATTTATTGTTATCTCACTCATTTCCGGTGCTCCTGACCCTCATCAACGTTCCATTCTTCTTATCTATACTTCGAACACCCTTTTAGCGTTCTTATCTATTACACGCTGTTAACCCTCATTATCTTTCATTTCCTATGTCGTCAATAAAACACAACCATTCATTTTTTATTTTTTATTTCATTACTTTTTTCTACAAAATATGAGTGGAACATCTCATCCACAAAAATATCATTGTACAGTGTGTTTCCTGTAAATATGTTCGTAAAACTATTCATTGAACATCCTTGAAACTTAAATAGCAAATACATTAAGCAATATTCACCACAAACTGACGTCCAATCATTCTGAATCCTATCAACATTCCAGTCCCATCTCTTACAATTCCTTTTCAAAAACTGAAGATGATATCGCTCAGGTGTTCGTCCATATGAATCAAAATATTGACCGATGCCATTCACATCGATATGTACAGCTACCCAGTGTGAGCCTGGTTTATCATCCGCATCCAAATTGCATATTATATACGTTGGTACATGTGTATACATAGGTAGTCTATTAGCAGCATAAACATTATTTTCTAGACTGGGATGAATCTTTTTCATATGTTTTTTTAATTCTAGTGTATCCATGATATCACTGTTATTAGCAGTTTATTGCAGTACCAATCTATTCAATGGTTGTCATAGGAATGTTCAATTATAGTGATTTGTAAATCGCATAGTGATCTTCATGCCTGTTGCGACGTGAGATAAGTTTGTTGACTCATAGAGTTCCGTTGTACTTAGGAATTTACTTCAGATAACGTGGTCATAGTAATGTGTAATTAAGATAGTGATTTGTGGGAGTCACAAAACATGTTCATGCCTGTTGCGACGTGAGATAAGTTTGTTGACTCATAGAGTTCAGATAAGAATGGTGCTAAATCTAATGATTACACAGAAGTACTTTAAGTAAACAGAATCACATTCACTAATCCACTAATGAGTGTCATTGTTAAAAAAGTATTTTTTAACTTTTTCACTTTCTGCTATTGTCTTTGTAATATTGTATACGAGACCGTTTGTGTTGTCGTAGATGCTATCCTTATTATTCTTTACGTAATATTTAATCCTCGTGGTAGCGTGCTTCCAGTGATCACTAATTGGAATCTTGGATAGTTTCTTCATATCATACATTTCAATTTTTATGAGATGCGTCGCTTGGTCTCCGTCGTCAGAATTTGTAGAGATGTATGATACGCCATCTCTAGCAGCTCGTGCCACAGTCGACGATAGCAGCTTCTTCCTTTTTATTTTTGGTGTCACTTCAAAAAATTGATCAATCGGTTGCGATTTCCTTTTTCCTCCATCGTCTGTGTTATTAACGACGATGACATCACTCTCTTCTTCGTGTTGGGGAGAGAGTGGCGAGTAGTAATACTGTTTATAGGTATTTTCATTATCGTCTGCGAAGTTGAATGATCTCTGCAACAACAGAGTTATCACGTTAATATCAATTTGTTTACACTTAATCTGACACACACAGACACGTTAGGAAACAACAACAGAAATACAAGTAAGTTTGTCAATAGAATAAACACTTACCTCCATGACCATTGATGCGTTGAAGTAAGTAACACAAACGTAGTATTGGTAGACGTACACAATCCACTGTGGTCAAACGACCATAGACTGACTGCATGACTGCAACTGTTCGATCTTATATAGCACCATTCTTATCTGAACTCTATGAGTCAACAAACTTATCTCACGTCGCAACAGGCATGAACATGTTTTGTGACTCCCACAAATCACTATCTTAATTACACATTACTATGACCACGTTATCTGAAGTAAATTCCTAAGTACAACGGAACTCTATGAGTCAACAAACTTATCTCACGTCGCAACAGGCATGAAGATCACTATGCGATTTACAAATCACTATAATTGAACATTCCTATGACAACCATTGAATAGATTGGTACTGCAATAAACTGCTAATAACAGTGATATCATGGATACACTAGAATTAAAAAAACATATGAAAAAGATTCATCCCAGTCTAGAAAATAATGTTTATGCTGCTAATAGACTACCTATGTATACACATGTACCAACGTATATAATATGCAATTTGGATGCGGATGATAAACCAGGCTCACACTGGGTAGCTGTACATATCGATGTGAATGGCATCGGTCAATATTTTGATTCATATGGACGAACACCTGAGCGATATCATCTTCAGTTTTTGAAAAGGAATTGTAAGAGATGGGACTGGAATGTTGATAGGATTCAGAATGATTGGACGTCAGTTTGTGGTGAATATTGCTTAATGTATTTGCTATTTAAGTTTCAAGGATGTTCAATGAATAGTTTTACGAACATATTTACAGGAAACACACTGTACAATGATATTTTTGTGGATGAGATGTTCCACTCATATTTTGTAGAAAAAAGTAATGAAATAAAAAATAAAAAATGAATGGTTGTGTTTTATTGACGACATAGGAAATGAAAGATAATGAGGGTTAACAGCGTGTAATAGATAAGAACGCTAAAAGGGTGTTCGAAGTATAGATAAGAAGAATGGAACGTTGATGAGGGTCAGGAGCACCGGAAATGAGTGAGATAACAATAAATGGATTTGCAATTGATTCTCATAACTCCAGAACCACGCATCCTACGCTAAAAAGGACTGCAGAAACGTGATCAGAGCATGCCAAAACCTTTTTTTTTTTTTTTTTTTTTTTTTTTTTTTTTTTTTTTTTTTTTTTTTTTTTTTTAAGGTTTGGTGCGACTGAATCTTCCGGATTTGACCGGTCAAACGCGTGAGCCAGAGTCAGGGAATCATCACTACTGTTAATGGAGTGTCAACATTTAAGACATAAGGTTTTTAATTTCAAATTCTCAGTGATAGATTAACATGCGATTTTTTTTATTATGGCATAAGCCGGTAAACGAGCAGATGGATCACCTGATGGTAAGCAATCGGCGTCGCCCATGGACACCTGGAACACCAGAGGCATTACAAGTGCGTTACCAGCCTTTTGAGGATTAGGAGTTTGAGGTTCGTTGGGGATTCAGGAATTGGGGTAACTGGAGAAGGGGAGGGTAATTGGGCTTCCGGTAACCTCACTTACACGACGAAATACAACGCAAGCGTTGCTTCACGTCGGTTTTCTGTGAGGCCGTGGTATCACTCCGGTCGAGCCGGCTCATTCGTGCCGAAGCATGGCTCTCCCACACTTGAGCCGCATTTTATATATCGCATAAGATTATTATACCGCACTTCGTAATTAAAATGAAAAAAAAGTGCAATTACACTTAAATCTAAATTATAATCACGTGGAGAATAAAATGAGCATTAATCAGCACGCTTGCCTAAAACATAATGATTTCATTTTAACTTCATCATGGGCCAAATGGTCGCAAGAGCGACTGTTTGGCTAAAAATCTCAGTAGTAGGTAGGATCTGGAATTGGGCCTGGTATCCATATACCATATACACATGGGACTCATAACAGCAATAACTAGCGAAAAGTGGGTGTCCCATTGTACAGTGGCATTAAATGCACCTCTAACTACAAAAGGCGTGATGTTATGTTCAATTTCCTCACGATATTGCTCACCATATGTCAGTGATGTCAAAAATTATACATAAGTATGTAAGAAACATTTTAAGTGTACCTTCAGGAAAAGTCTAAGATTTACTACCATAAATAAAGTAATAACATAAACTAACTATTGTTCGCTAGAACATAAATCGTTTATATTTGAGATATAAAGAATTATTTACTGTTGAGATGATGTAGACAAAAAGTTGACGTCAGTTGATGACATTGTAACAAGGAACATGCATTATGTTGACATGTACTGTCAAATGGATACAAAATGGAGTCGATACAAAGTATAATTTTGATACTTTGTCAAAGAAGTGATGGTTCTACAATTCGTTTATATAAAACTACGTTTGAAAAACCGACTTTAGTTCCCTTGTTTTGAAGTCGTTAACTATTTTGTTTTTTATGGGATCAGCCGGTAAACGAGCAAACGGATCACCTGATGGTGATCCGTTTGCTCGTTTACCGGCTGCTACTGCTACTCGGTGCCGCCCATGGACACATGAAACACCGAGGCGTTACAAGTGCGTTACCGGCCTTTTGGGAATTGGAAATTTGAGGATTGTGGGGAATTGTTCATGGTGCCTACGGTAACCTTACTCACACAATATTCTAAAACCTTCTCATAAGTACCTACAACAAACACTTTTCTTAAAACCACGTCAAAATCGGTTCACCCAATCGCAAGATAATAGCGCACAGATATACATACATACATGTAGGTCAAATTGAGAACCTCCTCTTTTGAAGTCGGTTAAAAACTGTATTTTACTGGCAATTTGGCAGCATCGAACTATGACATCGTGGCCATAACTGAGACAGGCCTTAATTCGTCAATGCATGATGGGGAATTAATCCCGCCTGGATTTAACGTGCTTCGGTGTGATCGGATGGACGGATGAAAACAGGGAGGTGTGTTGTTGGCGGTTAGATCGAGGTTTCAACTTGCACGGCTTCCCGCTGACAATGTGGACACCGCCTTATTCGAACTTGTGTGCGCGACAGTAAATTCTCGGAATAACAACTGTTTATTTTTATGTTGTGTTGTATATATTCCTCCTAAGTGTGATGCTGAACAATATATGCACTTGTTCCGTATTTTAGAAAACATTTGCATTAAATATGAGAAAGTGGTGGTGATCGGTGATTTCAATATGCCTTCGGCAACTTTGGAGGTAAACAGTTATTTTGAATATATGAGCGCTTTCTGTGGATTTCAACAGGTAAATGAGATTGTTAATATTAATAACTGTAAGTTAGACCTACTATTGACAACACTATTGCCCGGCGACATAAAGGTACATTTAGCTGACGAGTCGTTAGTGAGTGTAGATGTGCAACATCCACCGTTAATGGTGACCTTATGTTTTAGTGGACATTTTGGAGGGTCGTCATCATCGCAGACTTCTTTCGACAGTAGTCAACACAATGATAACCATTCAATGTGGAATTTTAAAAAAGCAAACCTTTGTCAACTGTATCATGATTTACAATTGATGAATTGGGATTTGATTTATGACACGCAAAGTTCAAACTTAGCATTAAATTATTTTTATGACATAGTTAACAATTGTATTAATTTATGCGTTCCTAGGAAAAATGCCAGTAAATCGTACAAAAATAAGAGGACTTATCCCGAATGGTACACGTCGGATATAATAAAGGATATTAGGACAAAATGGAGACATCACAAATTATTTAAAATTACGTCATCTTTAAGTGATTACGAAACGTTTTCTCGTTACCGGTCAATAGTGAAACGTAAAATATCAGCTGCATATCAGGAGTATCAACATAAGTTGCAAATAAATTTTAAGGACGATCCAAGGTCATTTTGGACATTTGTTCGAACTAAACAAATGCGTAGGAATAAACCCAAGATAACCAAGGACAATTTAGTGATTACGGAGGAAGAATCTGCGGAATGTTTTGCTAGATATTTCCACTCGGTATATAGTAAAAAGCGACCGGCGCTTGATACTCATGCGGCGGAGCGAGCTGCGAGAGGTGGTTGCGCAGGTGCGGACTCTGCACGCGTACACATTGACTATCTTACCAGGAGAGATTTATGTACGGCTTTTCAGCGACTTAAGCCTAAGTACTCAGTGGGTCCAGATGGAATACCACCATTCGTAGTGAAGGACTGTAGTTCTGTTTTTCTGAAACCGTTGCTACACATTTTTAATTTGTGTTTGAGTGAAGGCCGCTATCCGGATTGCTGGAAAATAACACGAGTAATTCCGGTTCCAAAGGGAGGTAAAGGGTCAGATATCGAAGGATATCGCCCGGTAGCAGTGTTGTCGGCCTTTGCTAAGATTTTTGAGTCTATTTTACAAAAACGGATTTACTCACAGGTTGGGCAAACATTTTCCGAGGCTCAACACGGTTTTCGGGTGGCACGTGGGACGGGGAGTAACCTTCTCTCTTTTATGTCATACGTGACGCCAGCTGTAGACGCCGGTGGGCAGGTAGACGTCGCTTATTTTGATTTCAGGAAAGCATTTGATACAGTAAACAACGATATTTTACTTGCGAAATTGTCCAAAATAGGTTTCACCCCTCATTTGCTTAAGTTTTTTGCAAGCTATCTGGGGGATCGTCGCCAGTTTGTGGAGTACGCAGGGCGAAGGTCTAAACCGTATTATACATACTCGGGCGTCAGTCAAGGGAGTAATCTTGGTCCACTGGAGTTTTTAATTATGGTTAATGATCTCCCTGAGGTCGTGCGCAGTGCGCGGTGCTTGCTATTCGCGGATGACCTAAAGGTCTTTCTGCAGGTCGAGGACTCCGTGGGCTGTGCTCGGCTTCAGCAAGATCTTGATCAAGTAGTACAATGGAGCCGGGATAATGAGCTGTATTTTAACGTGGCCAAATGTTGTGTGATGACGTACACTCGCGCCCGCTCTTCAATTTGCTATCAGTATCAAATAGATGGTGCAATAATGCCACGTGTCTCAAACGTCCGAGATCTAGGGGTTCACATGGTGACCGAGCTAACGTTTCGCAAACACGTCACGGATCTATGTAGCAAATCTTTTAGACATTTAGGGTTTATATTGAGACAGGGTCATGATTTTAAAAATATAGCGGTACTTAAAATTCTATATAATGCATTGGTTAGAAGCCATCTTGAAACTTGTGCTATTATTTGGAATCCACATGAGGACAAATACATTAAGATGTTGGAAAAAATACAGAACAAGTTCACAAGATTTTTGTATTTGAAATTGTATGGGATTTATCCATTTTTCCCATTGATGTACCCAAGTTTATTCGTCCTGGGGACAGTTGGGTACAATACACTAGAGGTGCGGAGAGATGTGGCACTAGTTAAATATATCGCCAGGGTACTACGAGGATTGGTCCATCACCCGGAAGTGTTGGAGATGTTGGGATTGCGTGTGCCAGACGGATACGTAGGGGCTCGTCGACGCCCCACCCTGTTGGAAGTGCCAAGGGCTAGGACTAATCTTCTTAAATATGCTCCTATTTCGCGTGCTATTCGGATTATAAATAGTGTACCGGAGCATGATTTGTTCCACAACCTACCAAGGTTTATTGAAGCAGTGCAAAGGCATATTGAATATCACCGTATTGAGTAATTGGGTCTGTATGGTTATAATATGTATGTCATACTGAGAGTATGACATAATAATTAAGGTGAATTGTTTATTAATTAAGTTACGTGTTAGACTTAAATGTGTCAGGAAATGTGATATTGCATTGGAATAAACTGTAAGATGTCACATTGTAAGGTGTTATAATAAATAAATAAATAAATAAATAAATCTCTTTGCAAGTGAATACTTCTAAGGAAAGGCTCTTAGTTTAGATTCGGGTCTGCCAAATATGAAGTTCTAGATAATCAAGATTGATTCACTGCTCAAATAATTGAAAGTAGTATTGGCTTTCTTGTTTTAAACATTCGTGCCTTAAAAACAGAGACTGGAGCTAGACCTCAAGTAAAGATTACTTGAGTGGCATTAGCATAGCACACTTGATAGGACTAGTAAGAAATACGTAGATATTTAATAAAATAAAATGTTATAGTTAATTACTTTTTGCTCTCTGATTATCCTAATAAATATCTAGATTATGCTTATCGCGGGG